TGCCTTCATATCCGAAGGAGGCCATTGGGACTAAACCCAAACTGAGTCCATTACTCATTCCCTCTCCGGCTCTTCTTGTGGCTTTTCTTAGATCTGAAATGGCAACACATACAAATCATTATATTTAACGTCTGTTTAAGGAGCTGGGCAAGGACTTTTGAGGAAGACCAGGATATGATGACACTGATGGGGATGGAGAAGATACCAATATTCATTAAATGTCCCTGGTGTTTTATGTCTCAGAGCAACACAATGAGTCATGCCCTGCTATCCAAAATTTACCATTGAGGAAATGACCTCTGAGAGGTTAAGCCTGCACCTAACAGTACAGCATATAGGAATTTCTAATGAAAGCTTATCAAATGAAAGTAAACTGTCCAATGTCACTCTCTGTTAAAAGTTGGGATGCAAGAATAGGTCTCCTGAGACCAAAGCTCATGCCTTTACCACTATCCAAAGCTGCAATCCTATGAGTAAAAACAGAACACAAACATAATTCTGGTAATTCTCAGGGCAATAGGCCAATTTTGTCTTGTAATGAAGAATTCCTAAATATTCCCCATTAAGACAAGAAAATTTAAGGGCCAAGTTAGTTGTGATTGGGATTTTAATTTCTGAATAAAGTGTGAAATTGTAAAACAGAGGATAATCCATACCTTTCAGGAGACTTTGAGTGGCTCCTGTGTCTGTGACTACGGTGATGACCTGGGGAAGAAAAGGCCATTGGATGAATGAGATTCTGCCCTCCTCCTCCACTGTCATTTTCACCTCCCATAATCCCTTCCATTGGCTTAATACTATCTTAGCCTATGCTAGGGATACCTCTGGTTGATAGCACCTCTCCAAACTGGGCTGTGGGTGTGTGTGGTGAGAACTGAAAACATTTCATATACATTCAGAGCTTTATGGCTAATTATTACACAAACATCATATTGGGTATTGACCACTACTCTGTTAGGTTTTATTCCTATCATTTCAGATGAAAAAAAAGTGAAGCTAATCCTATCAGCAAAGCTTCTAAGTGAGTCAAGGTGTGAACTCTTAATTTCCAAATTCTAAGTCCATTTCCTTTTCTTCTAAGCAATAATACAGGCACTCCTGTACTTCAGGAGGTTAATTGCTCCTATTACACTTCTTTGTTAAGACAACCAATAGCGAAAGGCCCAAATGCTATACCTGGGGACTTGGAGCGGGATCTGTGCCGTCTATCTCGGGACCTGCTGCGGTGCCGTCTCGGACTCTTGCTCCGATGTCTTTCTCGGCGAGGGG